GGCACCCGAAGGGCCAGCTTGGGCGCCAGCTCACAGGGAGCTGGCAGGGACCTGTTCTGCCACACGACTGCCACAGTGCCCAGGTGCCAAAGTGGGAACTGTTCTTAACTTTCCTCTGCGTTTAGACAAACAAAAATAAGAACTAAGCCAAGAAATTTGCTTTACTTTGTTACACATAATTCCTACAATTTAATACTGTGGGAGAAAAAAACGGAGTATAGTTTCCTTTTCCAGTATCAGCCTCAGAGCTCTGGCTTGCTCTTTGCATGTGTCTGAAAAAGCTTCACTTTCGCCATTTTCCTCTGTCTTGTGCTACTTACTTGCCTCTAGCAAGGGCCCTCACATTACAAAGTGCTCTCAAGGCCAAGTCCCTCTGGTCAATTCATAGCCTACAGGGTAGCTATGGAGCAGATTTTCTTCTTCTGCTCTGAACTTCTTATTTGCAATGTTTTGAAAATAAACATCAGAAGATAAACATCTGTCAGTGAAAGTAATCTTCAGTAGGCTCCTTCAAAGAGAAATTAGAGCAATGGGGGGAAGTTAAATACTCAGCAGTTTTGCTGAGGAACATGTTTAACCAAAGAAAGGTGAAAGGACCAGGAAGAAAACCTGGTCCTCTGAAGAGCTTCAGATACCCTAAGAGGCTCCCTCGCACGAGGGCAAGTGAGCCCCCCAGGCCCCTTCCCTTCCCTGCTGGGCTAAGGTTGTATCTCTTCCTTGCTTGTTTTTTTTCAGCGTCCTTCAGCAAAATCTCGTGAGGGGAGCGAAGAGGAAAAACAGTTCAGGAATATTTTCCGACAAATTGCAGGGGATGTGAGTATGCAACAGATCCCTGTCTCCGCCAACAAAGCAGCCTAGCCACAGCAACACCTAAATCAACTGCTTCACAGATTCAAAACAGTGAACACTAAAGTTTCCCTTGAATTTCCTTCCATCAAATTTCCTCTCCAATCTGAAGCTAAGCAAAATCAAATCAAAATCCAATTAAGTATACAGCTATCCTCATATGTACATAGAAGCTATTCCCACTGTGTAGAAGGGAGCCTCATTTAAATTCAGGCTTCTATCACTCCTCTGTGAGGCTATTTTGCATAGCATGTATAAACAAGTTAGAAATACAATGCCCTCCAGTATATGCTTAATGAGAGACATTAAATGTCAAAACAGATCAAAGAACTGCATAAATCAAGAAGCTGCAAATGGGTTACATGGATTTTCACATTTTGCTTTTTGGCTTACACTGTGTCTTAAAATTACTGGTTGTTATTCTTGTAGTAGTTGTAGTTTAATAAGGACTATATGGTAACTTTAGACCTACCTTGTACTACAGTCTCAAGAAAGATCTGGACCAATGTTTATATGAACTAGAATGTACTCTAGTTTGAAGCATATATATGCCATACTAAAAAGTGACCAAAGACTTCATACTTTTAGCATATCCATCCATAGCGATCAGCTTAATAAGGAATGTTGTAATTAATTATATTCTCACCACATTTCCCACCAGGACATGGAGATCAATGCTGAAGAACTCAGGAATGTTCTCAATAACGTCGTAAAAAAACGTGAGTTTGAGTATGTTTTTCAGTAACCTTGGACAAAGAAATCTGTGACACAACATAACCCTCCAACTCTAGTTACACTCTAAAAATTATTTATGGATTCAAACTCACACATTTCCTAGTTACACTTCCATAGACTTTGCACCCAAGACTTTAGCAAGCTGAACTTTTCATAGTGATGTTCTCTATGAGTGATCAAGTACTGAAACGCAGAAATGAGCAAAAGTTCATTGGAAGCACCACGGCGGATAATACAGCATTTCTAGCGGTTTGCAAATGCTCTTTAAAAAAAAAAAAAAAAAAATATCTAACCGAGAGGCAGGCTTTTCTGCCTGTTAAGCAAACTCTAGCTTACGGACTCTGGGCATGCTTAGTTACCTGAAAGTTAGAGTTTTCCAGAGGTTTTTATTGTATATAATAGGTCAAGAAAAGTAATCTCTAATTCACAAACAATAATGTTAGAGACATTTCAAATTTTTCTACTACTCTTTTCTTATTTGATGAAGGAAGTAGGTTTGGCTTCTACTTTGAGTAGAGTTACACCTAAGAAGAAGTGCTTGCTGACTTGCATGATCTGTTTTCACCTGGGATCATTTATTTCAGATAAGGACCTAAAGACAGAAGGATTTGAACTGGAATCCTGCCGCAGCATGATTGCTTTAATGGATGTATCCTTTTCCGGTGAAAGAGGAGTGCTTGATACCACACTAGTCCACTTGGGTTGTATTTCCCACCACTACACACACACACAACTTAGTAAGCCAGGGAAGCAGAACAGTACATTATAGTCTGTAGTCAGATAACACAGCATTCCTGGTTTGGCACATCTTAACTCCAGTTATCTCAACATCAGTGTAGTTAGCAAATGAAAACATCTCAAAAAAGAAAACTACAGAATAAGTGAGTATGATACTCTTTCTTAGGTATCAGCGACTGGCCAGCTCACGTTCTAAAGCATGATTTTATTTATTTTTTTTTAAACCAGCTCAAGATAACTACAGTTCTTGCCAACAAACTTACTATATTTCTCCCTTATGTTTAAGTTTATAACATATTATACGTTCCACTGTGTGCTTAGCATGCAATGCATACAGAAATTGTCTCAGAGCAAGCATAATAAAACACACTGCAAGGTGCCGTATGGGGTTCCCTCTGGTACAACTTCACTCAGTTTTCCTATTTGATATAATGCATGATTTTGAGAGAACATAAGCACATTCAAACATAACCAAAACAACATTTTAACTACAACTCAAAGCCATAATGGCTGGAGCCTAAAAACATTTTTATAAATATCTTTAGTCAATGTTTTGCTTAGTTCATTTTAAGCAAGGCAGAAAGAGCTTCACTCTAGGATAAAGCTCAGTTGTCTTAAAAACATTGGGTAAGCTTCACATTTGGAGGTGTTTAGAAAAAGCCCTCTAAAACATCCTGCTCATATACTTTATAATACCTGCAGGAGCAAGCCTCTCTCCTGTACCAGATATTTGTTTCTACACAAATAGTACTTCACACTCCTGAAACAAAATACTACGCAAAATAACCAAACATTCACCAATATTTTACTGTACAGCTCAGCCAGCTCTTAATGCTGAAGAGATCCTGAACTCAGTTTCACACTCATCCCTTCATCAGTAGCTGCAGATCTAATTACTTTTCTCTTAAAAATAGCGTGGTTTTTTTTACCTGAATGTTTGCATCACAGACAGATGGCTCAGGGAAGATAAACTTCGATGAGTTTCGACATCTCTGGGACAAGATTAAAAGCTGGCAGGTATTGCTGGTATCCACAGTGCTGTTCTTCACAGCTTCTGCAGCGCAAAAGCTTGTGTAGGAAAAACAGACCTCTCTACATAAACTACAACAACAAAAAAAAACTAAAAAAATTGCAAATTAGCCTCTAAAAAGAAAAGTAGTGTCTCTCCTAGTCCTACTCACAGCCTAAGTAAATAGCTTGAATCTCTGAAACTCCAGCATTCATGTAAGAACTTACCCCATGAGAACAGCATGGAGGCATACAACCTGGAGGAGGGGGGTGATGGGAATTAGAATCAGGCCTCACAAATAGCTTAATTAGGACAGTCAAGAGAGATGATTAACAGCATAAACTCAAGTCAAACAAGGAGAGTCTCTAGGGCAGAGCTTTTTGCTTCTCGCAGCATGCATCTAAATTATTTTACTTTGCGACTCAGAGGAGCTCTGTGCTAACAACCCAGGCTGCCCAGAAGCAGCAATATATGGCAAATGGCAAAGCCTCCAAGTGTCTGAGCCACACGTCCTATACCCACTCAGTGGGTACGTTCAACAGAAGTACAAGCTTTTATTTCTGTTGTGTATTTTTTTTTTTCCAGAAAATTTTCAAGCATTATGATGCGGATCATTCGGGAACCATTAACAGCTACGAGATGCGCAACGCAGTCAATGATGCAGGTACTTCTCCTAGTGTTCAAGGTCCAACAGCTAAAAAAAAACCTTATTTGGGTTGATCTATCACCAGGTGAAATCAGAAACACTGTGCAGACTTTTAAAAAGAGACTCTACGGAAATTTAAAAATCCTTTTTTCCCCAACAGAGTTTCTCAAATATCCAGATGGCAAGTCTTATACATCTTGCCAACCAAATAGATCTCTTCAGCTCTTTAAAATTTCCAGAGAACAATACTCTGCTGTCTTAAGGACCTCCTGCTTGGAATCCTGCTGTTCAGGGGAACCAGTGAGCCCTGAAGACATTTGATTTCATTTAAGCTGTGTATTCTTTATGTTTGTGTAAGTAACAACCAAAGAACAGCAGAAAACCCTCAACTCAAATGTACAGGCACTGAAACTGAGGCAGAGCAGGTCAGTGCCTGAGTTTGTATAAGAGGCAACTGGACGGACGTCTCTTGAGTCCTGCTCGTGTTTCTTGGTGGCACTAAGCCACTGCGAGACTCCTCTTCTACCTGCGCAGTAAGAAGAAAGCATTTTGCAAAAGGTGCAGTCAATGAAATTCGTCCTGCAAAGAGAGGCTCTTGACTCTTCTTGCTTTTTGTCTCAAGCACAATGATGTGCTTCTTTTCCTGGACAGCAGGCCTCCCCTTGCAAATGTCTTTACCAGCTGCTCTTTCTTAAAGGGAGAAAGAGGGCTTCTTTAATCAGAAAATCTGTAGCATCACTATAAACCTAGATGTGGTGATTTCAGTGGCACTTTATCTTCAGCAGTATTTGGGCACATCAGTTACCAGTTCATCAAGGAACAGAAACAGATGACTATTTTGTACTTTACATCAGTGATTCGATCCTTTGCTAAGCACAAAACTACACCTGGATTTGGATGCCAACTGCAGTAGAAATAGGGGTCATTTTTATTTTCCAGTTTTCCATTCACACCAGGAAAGTTGTCAATGTAAAAAAAAAATATTTAAATACCTCCTGCCTTGACTTTAGAACTAAAAACACATTTTGCAATACAAATTCTCAGTCTTGCAGCACATAGGCTGTGCACGACCTTGCATTTAGCCAACAACCAGCAGCACCTGAACCACGACAGACCCTTCACAGGCTGCAGCAGCCAGTGCCACCGCTCAGTAACAACACGCCGAGGAGTTACCTCCTTATCTGTTTTTTGACTGTTGTGTAATTGTGTTTTCACAGCAACTTCCTCCTCTGTTTCTGTCACCCTGGTTTTGTTGCTTTGCTGTTATCAGGCTCAGTTAAGCTGCAAACTCTTTGGTGAGGACCTCTCCTCTTCACGCTTACGACGTGAGGTAACTCACGTGCTACCGGTCCTCCCAAATCGTAACTTCAAAATGCTACTTACGTTTTAAGAAAGCAGCTGGACACCGAGAAGCTCTTTGTAGCTTTACTTCATTGTATTTAGTGTCTGCAGCAGCACCCTCCGGCCCGAGCCTCGGTGGGGCCCGGGAAGTGCCTACGGCCAAACCGCTCCTGGAGACCCGACGGGCACCAGAGCTTCCTCCCGGCTGTGGCCCAGCTCTGCCCCTTTCTGGTCCTCTGCAGGGTTTCGGCTGAACAACCAGCTCTACGACATCATCACCATGCGCTACGCCGACAAGAACATGAACATCGACTTTGACAGCTTCATCTGCTGCTTTGTGCGCCTGGACGCCATGTTCCGTGAGTGGCCGCCCGGGTCATACCGTGCTGCCTCCCCTGCTCCTCGCCCCCAAAACCCACTGCCACACTAGAAACAACGTTTGTTTAAACCATTACTGCCTACGCATAGTATTAATAATTAAAGATATGTCCTCAGGGAATCTAAAATGTGACAGCCATCTCGTACAAACACAAAAGAAACCACTGTGTTTCTCCTTGCATTAGCTAAGGAAAAACAGCAGAAATACGTGCTGACCGCGTAAGTGACTGTCTGTACGATTGCAGAACACAATGGGAGCACAATTTGGTTTGCTATCTGGGATCACCTTTACGCATACAGTAATTTCATCCACTCCATGTATTTTTGTTTCCTTGCTTTAGGGGCATTCCACGCCTTTGATAAAGATGGAGATGGCATCATCAAGCTCAATGTCCTGGAGGTAAGCTGTTTATGTTAGTATTTCTAACACAAAATCACAATACTAAATTTTACTCGTATTATTCATTGCACATGTTCTCAAGGGAGCCTATGAGAGTTGGTCTGAAATTGTCATCCAAGTCCTAAGAGTCCATAAAACCTCCTAAAAATGTTGCTACCTTTTTTTTACACAGAAAACACCTGTATCCATGATCTGCTGGCAACAGCTGCTCTGTAAGACTCCAGCTGATGCTGAAGGACACGTCTGTGACCTCTTCATATCATCTTTAAAGTGCTTCAAAAAAACTTTGACTTTCTTTTTATGAGGCAATTTAAATCAAACACACTTTAGTTTAAAGGTGTTAACTGATAATGGGGTTTAACGTTGCACTTTGCCTTTTTTTAAGTATTAAGAAGACTTAGAAAGTTTCAGCTTAAAAGCTTAGGGACATCATTAAAAAAACCCTTAACTTTTTGCAAGAGACGGAGGAATGGGAGCAAGAAGCCTAAGACAAACTTCCCCACTGCCAGTGTGCTTCATACTAAGTATCAGCAAGCAGCTGCCTTCCAGCTACAGAGGTGGTGGTGTTGCAATACAATTTGTTGGAGGATGCCAACAAGTCTTTCATCCTTTTATTCTAATTCTTCTTTCAGTGGCTGCAGCTCACAATGTACGCGTAACGCTGGAGCCAGTGGCCACCTTCATCAAGAAAATGCTCAAGACTTCAGTTTTAAGTTACCAGCTCCATTCAGCCCCAAGTGCAAACAAGAGCATCTTCCAGCTTGCCAAGATAAAACAGGACATGAAAAGAAGCCCTTGGAAAAAGAGACAGGCTACTTTCATAAATTTCTGACGTTTTCCTTTGGGCAACAAGGATTAATTTACTGATAACTGAATTAAGCTTTCTCTGCATGGCAAAGACATGGAGCATGCATCGTTACTCTGCTTACGCTGACAACTGGAAAAGTCTTCCCTCAAGTCAGGCAAAACTGGGACTGTATCTGAACTGTGAAGGTCAGAGCTGTTTACTACCACCTTGTAATTAGTCATTAACTCTTTGTCCTGCTTTTGATACTATTGTTTCAGCCTCTTCAGAATGTTGACTGAAAATTTCACAAGAGATTGTGCTAGATTACATAAATATTATGCATCCCAATTGCTTACGTTGTTACAGATGTGGCTACGGAGGTCAGTTCTCTGCTATGCTGGAAATGCAGAAGTAAGGCACCACAGACTGCAAAACCTAGGTACAGCTTGGTCTAGTGCCTCAGCAAAAGTATCAGAACTCAGCTATTTACTCCCATTTTTAGTACCCCCATAGTATCTTAAATACACATTGCATATTTTAAATGTTTTTTATTGTAACTGCATTCTCTGTAACATTGAGAAAGTTGTTTCCCATTCGAGACAGAAAACATCTTATACATACAAATATCTGTATATCTACACACAAACTTTCCCTCCCCACATCTCCTGGTCTTATTTCCTCTCAGTATTGTGTATTTATTTTAAGATATGATTTGTAGCGGAATTAGACACTATGTTAGCACATATTGGGAGTGTTATATTGGGAGGATTATTAGAATGTGTAAGTACAATTGGTTTAATTGAACCAAAAATAAAATCAACTGAGTTTTGGCCTAATCTTTAGAGTTGTTTTTTGGTTTTATTTCGAAAGAACAGAAGAGGATGAAACATAGAGCACTCTTCCATCATTCTGAATCTACAGCAGCTTTCGGAGTTTTATGGCAAATGTGAAATCAGCTTAATATCTCCAACACTTGCCAATTCACTCCTTGAATATGTTTTCAAAAAAAAAAAGGCAAAAAAAAAAAAAGCACTTGAGCTTGACAGGTTCCATTGTTACCAGCTTTAAGGATGACGGGATTTCAGAACTAGTCAATCGCTGGTCAATATAAACATGGAAGGAAAAACAAAACACACAAGAAAAGGTGTGAAGAGACCAGAATTTTTCAGGAGAACCTTCTACTCAGTTCTCTAGTGGTGAAAATTAACAAAGCAATCAACTATGGTAAAGCAAAATTGCAAAAACAAATCATAGCATCCAAAGTTATTCTGGTAAGTACTACATTTAACCGAAATGTCACTAAGAAACAGAAAACCTTTTGACTATAAAGTTCTTAATGTTGTCTTGCACGGTAACTTACTCTGAAAGAGTAAGAAAATCCTACAGTTTATCTAAAGAAGCATTATTCTCCTTTAATTTAAACTTTTGTTTTAACCCAAATCACATTAAGATGACTGGAAGAGCAGGAACCCTGGGTTCCAGCCGTATGTTCTCTCCCCTAAGCCATTATTTTCCATAGAAAAATATAGCAGAGATGCTCTGGTTAGAATGTTCAGAGAAAACCAAATCTATCAGTCAAAAGCTCAAAACCAGGATTTTTGATTGGCAACTCAAAACTGGTCCTTAAAGTCCTGGTGAGTTAACTATCAACAGCTCTAGAGATCTTCGCTTTGCCACGGGCCATGAAGCAAGGGAGTCAGTGCATCACCTTGGTGGCACCAGCTGGGTGGACAGTTCCCATTTTCCCTG